AATCATCCTATATACCTACAGAACAAATGGTCATTCAGAAAATATGTGACTGTGCAGAAATGGACAATTTAACCATAGCACTTAAAAATAAAGAGTTTTCAGCATTTTATGATAATTGGAATGCGTGGTATAATTGGTTATCTCAGAGATAAACTGTTCAATGAACAATGGGTAATTTAAGCATAGATAGTGATAAGATGTGTATATTTAAAGTAAGGCAGGAGAATTGGATCTTGCAGACTGTCAAAAAGGATATCTGTCTGTTTTTAAATGTATTTTCTTTTTTCTTCCGTTTCTTTGTTTTCTTCTTTCTTTTATACCTCTTTTTCTCCTTTTTCGGTTCGCAAGACCGAGCGTTTTTTTTTCTTTCCTTTTTTTCTTTTTTCTTTTTCTCCCCCTGTTGTATATGTAATGTTGATATGTTTTTAAGTGTAAATTCAATAAAAATTTATTCAAAAAAAAAAAAAGTGTTGATTCAGTCACGTTTTTCTTTGTCCATTTTTTGGATTGAATTTCCTTCAGCTTGACTCTTATCTATTCATAGATAAATGAATGGTTAAATGGGTACAGGTTTTCCTCGACTTATGACATAATTAAGCCAAAATTTATATTGCTAAGTGGGACATTTGTGAAGTCAGTTTTGTCCCATTTTACGACCGTTCTTGACACGGTTGTTCAGTGAATTGTGGCAGCCATTAAGTTAGGAACACAATTGTGAAATTAATCCCCATTAACTTTGCTTCTCAGAAGATCACTGCAACGGTCATAACTATGAACCAGTTGCCAAGCATACAAATATGGATCACGTGAGGATGGTCATAAGTCACTTTTTTTTCCAATACTGTTGTAACTTTGGTCACTAAATGAACTGTTGTAAGACGAGGACTACCTGTGCCCTCAAGGTCATCTAGCAGGACATAGGAAGTGTGCTTTCACTGAGGCTTTTCACCGAGATCAAGCCTCATCCTTCCTGCTTTGGACATATGGCAGTTTCCACAAGTACGGGGATAGGTTGAGGCCAGAGTCCTCGTCCTACAACCTCACTTCCTTCTAGCACTGATGATGTTCTCTAGCTGGGTCATGGAACATCTGCAAGGAAACCACCCAGCCCAGAGACCACCATGGACCCTGCAGTCCTTTTCTTCCTCCCCCTCCTCTTCCCAAACTCCATTTCCTTCAAGCACTGATGATGCTACCTAGTTGGGTCATGAAACGTCTACATAAAATAACCAAGCTCAAAGAGCACCAAACATCCTACAGTCCTTTTCTTCTTCTCCTTCTTCTTCTCCTTCTCTTTCCCCCTCCTCCTCCTCTCCATAAGTCCCTCTCCCTTCTAGCATTGATGATGTTACTTAGTTGGGTCACAAAACGTCTTCATGAAAACAACCAGGCTCAGAAACCACCAAGGTTAAGAGATTCTTTTCTGCTTGATGGAGCAGCTCTAAAGACACGGTGGACCTGAAATTTATAGTAAAGAGAATGCATATTTGATTATTCATGTATTAACTGCAGCTAGAATTGTATTTGCTCAAAATTGGAAAAGTGAAGAGATTCCTACTGATGAAAATGTGATCAGGAAAATATTAGAATGTGCAGAAATGAATAGATTAACCCTTGCAATTAAAGAGAAGGAGAAAACTGAATAGCATAAGATATGAGAACTATTTTATCGATGGCTAGAGAAATATGAAAGCTAGAAATAGCTAATGGACTAGTAAAATATAAAAAAATATGTTAATAGAATTAAACATGTTAAGAAGAGGAGTGTTATAGTAATAGAGATATTATGTATATCAACAAGATAAGAATAAGAACAGAGAATTAATACTAAAGTAGTGAACATGGATTTAAATATTTGTTTTTGTACCCAGATGACACACCGTTAAGTGGAAGACGAATTGTATGTACTTTAAATTAAAAAAAAAACATTTACTAAAAAAATAATAAAGACATGGTGGGAAGGGCACCTCAAGCATCCAGTCGATGGGCTGCAGGTCTTGAAAACCAAGTCAGCAAAATTCTAGGAGGTTCATCTAATTTCCTTAACTCTGCTAAACTCTGACTTCAACTCCCAGAATTCTCCAGCCAGCTAAGCCCCGCCCCTTTCCACATGGCTGCCGGATAGCTAAAAAGGGGCGGAGCTTTGAATGGTTGGTCACAGGTGCCATCTTGACATCTCCGACAACTTTCTTGATCTCAGCCAGCCACACTGTAGTGGAAATCTTGCAGCACAGAGAAACATGAATGCCACCCATATTTATTGATTAGATTTATACCAGACAATAAACTTTGCATAAGAGCACAAATGCCCCTCCCCAATAATAATCCTCCAAGGTAGGTAGATTCCTTTCCAAATTATTTCCAAATGCAATTTCCAGGCAGTGGGAAGACTTTGTGCCAATCAGCAGGAGACTCGATCAATCAATCAAATCAGAATAGAGCTGGAAGGGACCTTGGAGGTCTTCCAGTCCAGCCCCCTGCTCATGCAGGAGAGAGCCTAGGCCACTTTAGACAAAATGGCTGTCCAATCTCTTCTTAAAAACTTCCAGTGATGAAGCACCCACAACTTCTGGTGGCAAACTGTTCCACTGGTTAATTGTCTTCACTGTTAGGAAATTTCTGCTTAATTCCAGGTTGAATCTCTCCTTGATCAGTTTCCATCCGTTGTTTCTTGCCTTTGGAAAATAGGTGAACATCCTCTACTTTGGGGCAGCTCTTCAAATATTGGAAGATTGCTATCATGTCACCCCCTATTCCTTCTTTTCTCTGGACTGGCCAAACCCAAATCCTCCAACGGTTCATATGTTTTAGTCTCCAGGCCTTTAATCATCTTAGTTGCTCTTCTCTGCACTTTTTCAAAAGTCTCAACATCTTTTTTGTAACTTGGTGACCAAAACTGGATGCAGTACTCCGGGTGTGGCCTTACTAAGGCATTATGAAGCAGTACTAATACTTCAGGTGATTTTGATTCTATGCCTCTGTTTATACAACATAGGATTGTATTAGCTTTTTTGGCTGCCGCCGCACGCAGCTGGCTCATGTTTAAGGGATCATCGACTAGGATTCCAAGGTTCATCTCATATGTATTGTTTTTGAGCCGGTTTCATCCAATCTATATTTGTACTTTGATTTTTTTTTCTCTCTGCCTGAGTGTAAAACTTTGCTTTTCTCCACATCGAAATTCATTTTGTTGGATAGAGCTCATTGTTCAAGTCTGTCAGGATTTTTTTGGATCCTGACTTTGTCTTCTGGGGTGTTAGCTATTCCTGCCAGTTTAGTGCCATCTGCAAATTTGATGATTTCCCCTTCTATTCCTTCATCTAAGTCATTTATGAAGATATTGAAGAGTACACTGGCCCCAAGACAGAACCTAACTGCTTACTTCCCTCCATGTAGATGTAGTACTGTTAAGGACTACTCATTGAGTACAATTTGTCAGCCAGTTACAAATCCATCTGGTGGTGCTGCTGCTGTCTATCCCACATCTTAGTCCCACTTTAGTCATGAGGGTGAGTTCTAGACCCAGAGGTGGGATTCTACCAGTTTGCACCTAATCGCTTGAACCTGTTGTTAACAATCTAAGCAGTTTGGAGAACTGGTTGTTAGAAGAAATTACTGGCCTAATCCTGTAAGGAAGGCAGGAAGGAAACATTCTGGTGTTGCTTACAGAAACTGCCTCTCCGCTAACCCTTATTATATTCTTGGCAGGACTAGACTTCCTGTCTCAGGGATTTCTCTTGAGTTTTTTTTTCCCCCTCCTTTGCTGGTACTTTGCTTGTGTGGAGTGACCATTCAAAGTTACAATGGCGCTGAAAAAAGTGACTTATGACACTTTTTCACACTTACGACTGTTGCAGCATCCCCACAGTCATGAGAGGCCAGGCGAGGAGATGTATGCCTCAGTGTGAATGATATTGAGTTGGCCACAGCCAATAACATGACCACCAAGCCATGTCCCCCCAGTCACATGACCACTAAGCCACACCCATCAACTAAGCCACGCCCACAGAACCGGTTGTTAAAAAAATTGAATCCCACCCCTATCTAGACCCACCTTAGGCATGAGAGCTGGTTGGGTGACTTTGGGCCAATCATTCTCTTTCTCAGCTCACCTCACAGAGTGGTTATTGTGTGGAAAATAGAACCGGGAATGGTTATTATGTACTTTTGCCTCTTTTAAGTATCTTATGGTAGGAAGTTAGCACCCACCCCTCTTCTAGAAAATTGAAGTATCCTGGGAACTATTAAAAAGGCAGAATATTTCCTCTAAGAAGAGTAGTAACTCAGAAGTTGAAACTCACCTCAGAAGCAGAAGCTCACCCACACCCTTGTTAATGGGTGGGCCATTAAAGCCAGGGTCAGAATACTTTACATAACAAAGGTCTCCAGGTAAAGCTATAGCAATTGGTCAAAAGCCCTTTCAGTGCATCATCATCCAGCAAGGCTCAACCAAGCCTGGAACTCAGGACAGCTTATAGAGTGGCCCCTGCATGGCCCCATGGCAGTCTGACAAACAGTCAGACATACAAGCTCCAATTCACATCCCAACAAAAGTTATAAAACCCAGGCACTCTCTGCGCCTCAGCCTTTTCTTGATCTTTTCCTTCATCCTTTTCACTCTGGAGCTCCAGGCCTTGTGGTCCTGTCCACCATTAAACCTTCCAAACAGCCTCCATGTTTCCAGTGTCTTTTTTCCCACTTGGAACTCAACCTAGAAGGATTTTTCTTCCAACACTACAGTAAAATTCATTCCCCGTCCTTATTTTCCATTTTAACCTCCATTATCTGAAATATCACTGCTTTGCCTCATAGAAATGGCACCTTAGATTCAAGGAGACACTGTGGATGTTTTGAGGAAACTCCCGTGCTTCAAAGTATTCATTAATATATCTCCCTTGTGAACATTTTGTGCAGATGTCCTCCCTTCCCCGCTGCTGAAAGTGGATCCATTGAACCAGAGGGTAAAGGAAGGTGACCCCTTGGTCTTCTTCTGTTCAATGGAAGGAGGCTCGGCCGAGAAGAGGTTCCATTTCTACAAGGATGGAGTGGAGATCACCTCCAGTGAAGAAGGTCTTCTGGAACCTTCCAGTGAGTCCACAAACCCTCTTCAAAATGCCTATCTGAGAATTCCTCATGCCTCGTTCAACCACAGTGGGGAATTTGCCTGCAGTTATGAAGAGAAGAGAAGCAACCGATGGGTCACGTCTTCTTGGAGCCGGGGGAAGAAGGTCACAGTTGAGCCAGGTAGGAGGAGATCTGGAAGTGGTTGAACCTTGAGATCACCATGAAAGGCTAAACTAGGAAAGGCAAAGAAAGTCCCGGAGAAAAGGAAGTGTCTTTTTGTGGGATTGTTAACTAGCTCCACAGAGAGGTCCATGGAAAATCCAGAAAGTGAGCTTGATTAAAAGGGGTCTGTTTCATTTGCAGATTTAACAGTCTTTTCTATACTATCAGAAAAGAGCAGATTAAGATATTCTGTCAAGAAATACTAAATCATGTTTCTTCTTACTTATTGAAACCAGTTGGTACCCAAGATTCAGATCTTGTATGGAGATATTCCTGGATGGCGATTCCTCTCATAATCCTGCTGGTTCCATTTGCCTTTTATTGCTGGAGGAAGAAGAGCAGTAAGCGAAGTGGTTTTGGGTTCAGGGGTTCCCTTACCTGGGGTCCCAGATGGCTCCTCATGTGGTTGGAGAGGTTGACTGAGAGATTCTTTGGAGAGACAGGAAAGGAGAGCCAGGCCTGAGGGAGAAGGACAAACAATATGTCAGGACGATGGAAATAAGCCATTTTCTTTCTTCCTTTCTTTCTTTTTATTATTATTTCTCCCTTGGAAGCACCAGTATCCCAGGAACGATTTCAGCTCAGGGAAAAGAAAGAGGAAAGAAATGATCTTGCAGTGATGGAGCCTCAAGCAGCAACAGCAGCGACTTCCTCACCTGTC